ACTGCACGCCCCCGCACTTCCGTCGCCCGGAGCAACAGGCCCCGCCCCCCGCCGCGCGCTTCCGCCGCCGGGCGCCCGCGGTGGACTGTACCATGAAGGCCGATGGGGTGGGGGAACCGTCGGGAGTCCTCGGACGTGCCCACGCACAGTCGGGGCGGGAGGGGGAGGCGCGGCACGTGAACTCGAACGCGGGACCGCCGAGTGAGCATGCGCAGTGCGGGCTGGGGTCCTGCTGGGGAGGCAGGGCAGGGAGAGGGGACGAATGAAGCGATGGTCTTTGCATCCGAAGGTCTGGAAGGCAGAGGGCGGGGTCCATTGGAGGTGCCAGTGACCCCTCAGCTTTTGGTTGTTCCTCGTGAGAAACCCCAGCATTTAGTGCATAGTTTGGCAAATCAGTAAATGCTCAATAAATGTTTAAATATTTGCAGTAAAGCAAAGAGCAACGCGGGAGAGGGCAGAGAGTCTATCGCCTATTCCTTTATTCATGAGGATTATTTCAAGCTGATGAATATTCTATTAAGTCCCTCCCCTGAGATTCCCCACGTGCAAGAGAGAGATAAATACCCTCAATGCAAAGGACCCAGTACCCCCTTCCCCCCAGGAGAGCATGTCCCGGGCCATTGCTACTTCCTCCCTTCTAAGGGACCCCATGAGACTTGCAACCAGGGGAGCAGTGGGCAGTGGCAGCTTATCCGGGGCCAACCCCCCCACCCTGTGTCCACGGCCCCCTTTTCTCTGAGTTCCCAGCGAGCCAAAGCAGCCCAGCCTGGGCTCTCCTGTTGCTTCTTCTACACCAACGTGTCAAACTCAAAGGCTAACACAGGCCAAATAAACGAGGCATGTGCCCTGCGGGCTGCCAGTTTGACATGCTTGTTCTACACCCTGCCTTGTTTCACTGTCCTAATTGTGTTGGTTTTTTAAAATATATTTTATTGATTTTTTTACAGAGAGGAAGGGAGAGGGATAGAGAGTTAGAAACATCCATGAGAGAGAAACATCGATCAGCTGCCTCCTGCACACCGCCTACTGGGGATGTGCCCGAAACCAAGGTACATGCCCTTGACCGGAATTGAACCTGGGACCCTTCAGTCCGCAGGCCGACGCTCTATCCACTGAGCCAAACCGGTTAGGGCCCTAATTGTGTTTTTGCCGCAGCCAATAAATTCTTGCTTGCTTTGCTGCAAAAAAGAGAAAAAGAAAGAAAAGAAAAATAAGGATTATTTCAAATTTTTCTATCTCCTCAACCTTTAGCAGATCACCTCACTGTCATCAGCACCAATTCCTTCCTTTCAGCCCCCATAGCAATGGGACCATGTGCCTCGAGCCCTCCCTGGCCTGGGAGAATTATTCCTAGCCAAAGGCAGTGCCCAGACTCTTGCCCCCTGGGCTGCTCCCAGGAAACCGAGGTGATGTCACCTTCCCCAGGACTGGGGTGAGGGGGCAGGGGCAGGTGTGACTTCCCTGGGCAGGGACACCCCTTTGGCTCTTCATTTTTAGAGGAAGGGGTCAGCCTCCTGTGCTGAATGATGAGAGGGGCTTTAGAGTTTTTGGGTCTCCAACCTTTCCAGCTGTTGTGGCTTTTCAGCTTCAGTTTCTTGTTCTGAAAAAATGGCGATTTGTCCCTAGCTGTTTTGCTCAGGGGATAGAGCGTCGGCCTGCAGACTGAAGGGTCCCGGGTTCGATTCTGGTCAAGGGCACATGCCCGGGTTGCGGGCTTGATCCCCAGTAGGGGGCGTGCAGGAGGCAGCCAGTCAATGATTCTCTCTCATCATGGATGTTTCTATCTCCCCCTCTCTCCCTTCCTCTTTGAAATCAATAAAATATATATATATATGGGGGGGGGGGAGATTATACTCTGCCTCACATCTGGAAGGACTAGGAGTGAGATAACACTCCTCAGGCCCCTGCCACAGTGCAGAACGGGGGCACAGCGGCCCCCTCCGTCCCTGCCTGCAGCCTGGCACAGGTGCCCAGGCCAATGAGGGCAGCGTCTCTCCTTGAATAATGGCACTGCTGTTGTTCCAGCCAGAGGAGCCAGACGTGAATGTGAGTCTTGAGACAGGGAAGGGCAGGGCCGAGGCAGGAGAAGGGCTGCGAAGAGAAGTCGATGCCGGAGAAAGCCCCGCTCCCGGATGGGCCTCATGGCCTGGTGGCCTCCTGAAGAGCTCTGTTATGGGGCAACCACCAGAGCCAAAGGGTAGAATTTAGGAGCCTTGATTAGCTGGCCAGCAACTGCAGTTACAGCTCCCGGCCGTAGCAGGGACGGAACTGCAGCCCCGACCAGATGCAGAAGCGAGCTTTTATTCACAAAAACCACAAAACGGTTGGCTACACACACACAAAGTTCGTCACTCCATTTCTCAACACAGGTCACAGACTCATACCTTTGAAAGGCCACAGGTTACAGACTCATACCTTAGAAAGGTTAGGCTCTTGCCATAACCAGTTTGGCTCAGTGGATAGAGCGTCAGCCTGCGGACTGAAGGGTCCCAGGTTCGATTCCGGTCAAGGGCATGTACCTTGGTTGCGGGCACATCTCCAGTAGGGAGTGTGCAGGAGGCAGCTGATCGATGTTTCTAACTATCTCTCTCCCTTCCTCTCTGTAAAAAAATCAATAAAATATATTTTTTTTTAAAAGAAAAAGAAAAAAAAGAAAGGTTAGGCTCTTCACCCCTGGCTAACCCGTGACCTGCTTGTAAAAAATGTTAAGAGGGAGCTGTGGTCTTTGCCACAGAGCCAGAGACTGCGATGACCTGATTTAACTGTAACCTTCTATTGTTCCTAAGCCCTGGGGCGTTTATTACAGCTTCGAGCGGCCCAGCTCCGAGCGGCCCACTTGGTGATGGATTCCATCACCCAGCTCTGACCGGAGACCTCCTTGAAAGTGGTGTTACGCACTTAATTGTGTCCTCCCCCCCCCCACACACATTCATATGTCACAGTCCTCTCCCCTAATTCCTCAGAATGTGACTGTGTTTGGAGGTAGGTGAAAGGTTCGGAGTGAGCCGGGGTCATGCACCTATGACATGAGGCCACAATCAAAAGAGATTTTATTTTATTTTTGTTCATCCTCACCCGAGGATATTTTTCCATTGATTTTTAGAGAGAGTGGAAGAGAGAGGGAAAGACAGAGAGAAACATCGATGTGAGAGAAACACATCGATGGGTTGCCTCTTGCCCCAACCAAGGCCCAGCCCGGGGAGCAGCCTGCAACTGAGGCACGTGCCCTTGACTGGAATCGAACCCGGGACCCTTCGGTCTGCAGGCCGAGGCTCTATCCACGGAGCCAAACGAGATTTCTATTTCACACACCTGGGTGCAGGTGGACCGAGTCTGAGGAAGGAATCGGCGGAGAATGAAGGGAGAGAGAGGTTTTTATTAATCCTGGCTGGCTGCAAGCTGTTCTGCTGACATAAGGGTCCAGTTGTCCTTGGTTCCTCCCCATGCCAGGTGTCTGGTGGTTATCTGGCCTATGCCGTGCTCAAGGTTGCAAGCCTTCTGCAAGGTATCTGCTAAGCACAGTAAGTTTTCTCTGCCCCGTTTTATTCTCTTTAAACCAGTGGTTCTCAACCTTCCTAATGCCGCGACCCTTTCATACAGTTGCTCATGTTGTGGTGACCCCCAACCATAAAATTATTTTCGTTGCTACTTCAATAACTATAATGTTGCTGCTGTTATGAATCGTCATGTAAATATCTGATAGGCAGGATGTATTTTCATTGTTCCAAATTGAACATAATTAAAGCATAGTGATTAATCACAAAAACAATATGTAATTATGTATGTGTTTTCCGATGGTCTTAGGCGACCCCTGTGAAAGGGTCGTTTGACCCCCAAAGGGGTCGCGACTCACAGGTTGAGAACCGCTGCTTTGACCCTTTCCGTAGGGTCTTTAAAGGTAATTAAGGTAAATTACCTGGATTTAGGTCATCAGGGTAGGCCCTAATGCAATACAACTAGTATCCTTATAAGAAGAGATGGGCCCTAACCAGTTTGGCTCAGTGGATAGAGCATCGGCCTTCGGACTGAAAGGTCCCAGGTTCGATTCCGGTCAAGGGCATGTACCTGGGTTGCGAGCACATCCCCAGTAGGAGATGTGCAGGAGGCAGCTGATCGATGTTTCTCTCTCATCGATGTTTCTAACTCTCTATCTCTCTCCTTTCTTCTCTGTAAAAAATCAATAAAATATAAAAAAAAAAAAAAGAAGAGATGGGCCCTAACCGGTTTGGCTCAGTGGATAGAGCGTCCGCCTTCGGACTGAAAGGTCCCAGGTTCGATTCCGGTCAAGGGCATGTACCTTGGTTGCGGGCACATCCCCAGTTGGGGGTGTGCAGGAGGCAGCTGATCGATGTTTCTCACTCATCGATGTTTCTAACTCTCTATCCCTCTCCCTTCCTCTCTGTAAAAACATCAATAAAATATATTTAAAAAAAAAAAAAGAATCCTCAGAGCAAGAAGAAATCATTAAAAAAAAAAAAAAAAAAGAAGAGGAGATGGCCCGGCTGGCGTGGCTCAGTGGTTGAGCATCAACCTATGAACCTCGGGGTCACAGTTCGATTCCCGATCAGGGCACATGCCCAGGTTGCGGGCTCCATCCCCAGTGCGGGGTGTGCAGGACGCAGCCGATCCATGATTCTCTCTCCTCATTGATGTTTCTCTCTCTCTCTCTCCCTCTCCCTTCCTCTCTGAAATCAATTTAAAAAAAAAAAAAGTGGTCCTACCACTGCACAAACTGCCTAGCAGGGGGGTCGGCCTATCTAGTCTTGTCTCCCCCTCAGCCTAACCAGCTGCCTTTCCCCACTGGCCCCCCTCACCGTGGAGGTGACAACTCCCTCGCCAGGCCCCGCGGGGCTAGTGGAGAGGGTGGCAGGTCTGGATTCCCCCAAGCTGCCATTGCATCGGCAATCACCTTTAAAATCTCTCTGTGCCTCCTGCAAGCCTTCCTCTGGGTGTGAGCTCCCGGGGCCCCCTGGGAGGAGGGAGAGGGCAGGGAGGGGGGAATGGGGCTGGCCCAGATCCCACCCCCAAAGCCCGGCTTCCACATGGCTGAGCAGGAACTCCGGGCAGACCACACAAAGGAGGGCTTTGAGGCGGCTCCAGAGGACCCGGGCCGACCCCCTCAGCCCCCTGGCGCTGTGCTTGTCCCAATCTGGGCCTCCCGTGAGCCTGATTGAACAGGAAATCACGGGCCCTGAGAAGTTCCTTGTGACATTCTAATCCCAGCCTGCTGACAGGACCACGCCCCCGGCGGAGGTGACCGCCAGGGCTCCCCCAGGATACAGGCACCAACCAGGTGGCCCCAAAGAGGAGCTGCGGGCCCAGCAGGTAAGTCAGCATCAGGGGCCCAGCTGGGCAGGGAGGCGGGGGGAGTCCAGGTCTACGGTGAAGAGTCAGGGATGGGGGGGTAGGGGGGGAGGCGCGCACAGCACAGACGCCTGTAAAACGGAAACCAACCGGCTACTTTCCAGGCTGAGCCAGACCGGCCTGTTGGCAGACGTAGCACATAAGTATCAATGAAATGTGAATGTGCATTTAAATAAGGAATTTCAGCCGGACGACAACCAATGCCCCAGGTGACTGTGATGCGGGGGAAAGTTTGAGAGCCGCAGTTCCGAGACCAGATCTGCAATTTCTCCATCCACTGCTGCCCCGACCCCCTCCCCCAGGACAGAGGCCCGGGACTCAGGCTCCTGGAGGCAGCATGTCAGGGGGGGTGAGTACCCCTGCGCCCTGGGGCTCCCCTCCACCCACCTTCCCCCTGTCCTGCCCCTCCCTGCGTTTCCACCCCTGGTCTGCCCACAGTCATGGCCATTCTCCCCTACAACCTCTCTGTGGCCCTGGACGCCAGCCACCTTGGGCCGGAGCCCTAGGGTAGGGTCCCAGCCGGCCATGGGCTCGGCTGGCTCAGGCTGATGGGAACCTGTCACTGCTTTTTCCTGACGCCTCTCCACGCAGGCGGGCACCTTCCGCGAGGTCCCTGAAGAGGAACAGCAGCTGCGCGCCCAGCTGGAGCGGCTCACAACCAAGGACCACGGGCCTGTCTTTGGCCAGTGCAGCGAGCTGCCCCCACACACCTTGCAGAAGGTGAGGTGGTCCCAGGGGCGGGGGGCGGGGGCTGGCAGGTGAGGGAGGCAGCAAGGGGGGATGTTGATGGCCTCCTCGCTGCTGGAGACAGCGTCCTGCCCCAGCTCTCCCGGTTGTCCTGAACCTCATGGGCTGGCCTGTGCTAGGGGGCCTCCTGGAGGTCAGGCCTGGCAGCCGCCGGGCTGGCCAGACATCAGCCGGCCTATCCAAGTCTACAGCCCCCACAGGGCTCCCTGAGACCAATGCGGGACCTGGGGCCTCCGGCCAGGGATGTCCTAGACCAGCCGTGGGCAAACTACGGCCCGCGGGCCGGATCCAGCCCGTTTGAAATGAATAAAACTAAAAAAAAAAAAAAAAAAAAGACCGTACCCTTTTATGTAATGATGTTTACTTTGAATTTATATTAGTTCACACAAACACTCCATCCATGCTTTTGTTCCGGCCCTCCGGTCCAGTTTAAGAACCCATTGTGGCCCTCGAGTCAAAAAGTTTGCCCACCCCTGTCCTAGACTCTGATATTAGGGACTTTTTTTAAAAAATTATTTTTATTGACTTCAGAGAGGAAGGGAGAAGTAGAGAGATAGAAACATCAATGATGAGAGAGAATCATGGATTGGCTGCCTCTTGCACGCCCCTTTGTGGGGATCAAGCCTGCAACCTGGGCATGTGCCCTTGACCGGAATCGAACCCTGGACCCTTCAGTCCGCAAGCCGATGCTCTATCCACTGAGCCAAACCAGCTAGAGCTATCTTTTAAAAAATATATTTTATTGATCTTTTACAGAGAGGAAGGGAGAGGGATAGAGAGTTAGAAACATCGATGAGAGAGAAACATCGATCAGCTGCCTCCTGCACACCCCCTACAGGGGATGTGCCTGCAACCAAGGTACATGCCCTTGACCGGAATCGAACCCAGGACCCCTCAGTCCTCAGGCTGACGCTCTATCCACTGAGCCAAACCGGTCAGGGCTGGGAGAGGAAGGGAGAGGGAGAGAGAGAGAAGCATTTCAGAGAGGAAGGGAGAGGGAGAGAGAGAGAAGCATCAATGATGAGAATCATGGACCGACTGCCTCCTGCACGCCCCCTGCTGGGCATTGAGCCTGCAACCAGGGCATGTGCCCCGATCGGGAATCAAACCGTGACCTGGTTCATGGGTGAAAAACACAATGTACTTCAAGGACTGGGCAGAGGGCTAACCAAGTGCAGGCTGTTACGATGACAGACATTCAGACCTTTGGCTACGTCGTGCCAACAAGCCAGGATGAGCAGATGGACAGATGGACCTAATGTTCTCCCAATACAGCCAGGTGTCCCCAGCGAGGTCTCACCCTGTGTGCCTGTGTCCCGCCCCGCACAGCACCTACCCGCGACTTCCTGCTCCCACTTTGTTCCAGGCCAAGGACGAGCTGAACGAGAGGGAGGAGACGCGGGAAGAGGCGGTGCGGGCGCTGCAGGAGCTGGTGCGGGAGCAGGCGGCCTCCGGGCAGGAGCTGGCCTGCGCGGTGGCCGAGAAGGTGCGGGGGAGGGACAGCGCCTTCTTCCTGCGCTTCATCCGCGCCCGCAAGTTCCACGTGGAGCGCGCCTACCAGCTGCTCAGAGGTGAGGCCGCGCTGGGATGCTGGGGGAGGAGAGGAGGTGAGGAGGGTGGTGCTGACCCTCACGCAGCCACAGCTCACACTGACCCCTCGGCGTCCCTCCCATTCCCTGCCCGGAGCGTCTCGGAGCCTCCTTATCTTTCCCCCTAAAACTGTCAGATGTGGGCGATCCCGCTCAGCTGTGACAATGAATGAATGAATGATGAAGGGGCAGGTGAACGAATGAATGAATGAATGGGGCAGGTGAACGAATGAATGAATGAATGAATGGGGCAGGTGAATGAATGAATGAATGAATGGGGCAGGACCAGATTCCTAGAGATCTGGCTCCTGTCCTCTCAGTCTTAGGACTCAATGAGTAGAACCGTGTTAACATAAAAACAATCAAACCTGTAAAGAATTTTTGTGAGTTTATTTGAGCCAAACTGTTGACATATGGAAGGAAGCAGAACCTCAATGGATTGAGATAATGCTCCGGAGAATGGCGGGTTACATCTGTATTTATACATGGCAATCAAAGGAAGGGATGTAGATGGGTTACATGAAATCCATTGGGGATAGACTAGAGAGGCGGGAGGAAGCAAAGGGGGGTGGAGAGAGACATCATCATCTCATCAATGATGAGAGAGAATAACTGATTGGCTGCCTCCTGCACGCCCCACACTACGAATCAAGCCCGCAACCCGGGCGTGTGCCCTTGACTGGAATTGAACCCGGGACCCTTCAGTCCTCAGGCCAATGCTCTATCCACTGAGCCACACCAGCTAGGGCTTGGGGTTTGATTTTATCCTCTCCTCACCCCACTCAGCTCACCCTGTGCCCAACGGAGACACCTGAGCCCCTGCCCGTGGGAGAGAGGAAGACCCAGTAGGTGCCGTCCTCAGATTTAGGGTCCCACCTCACCTGTGGGCAGTTGACCAATGATGTTCCGGCCTAGAGTCTTGATTCCCGCTGCAATTATCCCAGAGAGGGGGTGTCCTGCTCGGTGCCACGCAGGCCTCGGGATCCCCTCCCCCCCTAGGACGGGCTGGCTCCCTGAGGGGCCCCTCTGTTCTCCCTGCGCCAGGCTACGTGCACTTCCGGCTGCAGTACCCCGAGCTCTTCGACAGCCTGTCCCTGGAGGCCGTCCGCTGCACCGTCGAGGCCGGCTACCCCGGCGTCCTCTCCAGTCGGGACAAGTACGGCCGAGTGGTCATGCTCTTCAACATCGAGAACTGGGACTGCGAAGAAATCACCTTTGACGAGGTCAGCGAGTCCCTCCCCCAGCCCTGGCCTCTGTGGGGCTGTCACTCTGCGAGGTGGGGGAGGGGGAGGCAGGCAGCCACGGCCACCAGGCCCTGTCCAGCTGGGGGAGAACTGACTCCTAGGGTGGCCAGGGCAGCTGGGAAACCCAGCAGCTTTGCAGGCCGGGCCCGCTGGCCAAGGGTCCCGGTGTCCCTGCCAACCGGGGTGACAGCTGTGGGCCACGGGCTGGGCTCAGCCCAAGGTTGGAAGCTGAGAGCCACAAAGAACAGGGAGAGCGGGGAGGGGTTCTGGAGAGCACACGCAGGCTCCAGCCTCGTTAGCAGCCTGACGTCTTGGCATTGACGCGTAGGCGATGCCATGGGTCAAGCCCTTAAGACAGCTGCCCTGCCCGGCCTGCATGGCTCAGTGGTTGAGTGTTGACCTATGAGCCAGGAGGTCACGGTTCGATTCCCGGTCAGGGCACATGCCCGGGTTGCAGGCTCCATCCCCAGTGTGGGGCGTGCAGAAGGGAGCCGATCCATGATTCTCTCTCATCATGGTTGTTTCTCTCTCTCTCCTTTCCTCTCTGAAATCAATTTAAAAAAATACATTTTAAAAAAAGTCTTGGCACCCTAGCCGATTTGACTCAGTGGATAGAGCATCAGCCTGCGGACTGAAGGGTCCTACGTTTGATTCTGGTCAAGGGCACCTACCCGGCTTGCGGGCTCGATCCCCAGTAGGGGGCGTGCAGGAGGCAGCCGATCCATGATTCTCTCTCATCATGGATGTTTCTCTCTCTCCCTCTCCCTTCCTCTCTGAAATTAATAAAAAAAATATATATATATACTTTGAATATATTTCTTTATTGATTTCAGAGAGGAAGGGAGAGGAGAGAGAGAGAGATAGAAACATCAATGATGAGAGAGAATCATTGATTGGCCGCCTCCTGCACACCCCCTACTGGGGATCGAGCCCGCAACCCAGGCAAGTGCCCCTGGCCGGGATTGAACCCGGGGCCCTTCAGTCCGCATGCTGACGCTCTATCCACTGAGCCAAGCCAGCCAGGGCAAAAAAATATATATATATATATATATATATTTTAAAAAGCCTTGGCAAATACAATGAAGTTTAAAGGGGACAGGGAGAAGCACGCTGGCATCTCACCATGGCTGGGACACTCGCGGTTATTTCTTGGGACCCATTCACAGAGGGGGAGTGTCCCAGCTCTAAGCCGGTGACGGTGGGTGACAAGTGACCTCCGATAAGGGTGCACCAGTCGGCTCCCCCGCCAGGACCTGGTCGCTGCGGCCGGGGCTGGCAGCCTGGTCCCTGTGCCCAGATCTTGCAGGCCTATTGCTTCATCCTGGAGAAGCTGCTGGAGAACGAGGAGACCCAGATCAACGGCTTCTGCATCGTGGAGAACTTCCGGGGCTTCACGCTGCAGCAGGCTGCGGGGCTGCGGGCCACCGACCTCAGGAAGATGGTGGACATGCTCCAGGTGAGGCCTCCGCGCCGGCCCGCGGCGGGGTGGTGGGGGGACCCCAGCACAGGGCGGAAGGCTAGGCGGCCGGGCCTGGTGTCCTGGTTTAACGGTGCCGGCAGGGAGCTGAGAATGGGCCACAAAGGGCAACGCCAAACACAGACACTTGCGTGGTGATCGACAGTGGGACAGGGATTCACGTTCATTAACTCATCTACCCGGAGACAGCATCCTCTCGCTGCTTCCTGCTTCATTTTTTCCACATTTTTTATTTTTATTTTTTTAATTTTTATCTATTTTTTTAATCCTCATCTGAGGATATTTTTCCATTGATTCTTAGAGAGAGCATGGAAGAGAGAGGGAGAGACCGAGAGAAACATTGATGTGAGAGAAAGACATCGATTGGTTGCCCCCTGCACACGTCCTTGACCAGGGCCCAGGCCGGGGAGGAGCCTGCAACTGAGGTACATGCCCTTGCCTGGAATCGAACCCGGGACATCTTTGGTCCACAGGCCGACGCTCTATCCACTGAACCACACCGGCCAGGGCGTTCCTGCTTCATTTTTAAAACCTGGAAAACGAGGCTCAGAGATTTGTGTGACTTCTCAAGGTCACAAAACTCTAAAGTGGCAGAAGCCGGACTTGAACTTACACCTTCTGACCCCAAATCCCACTGTGTCTGCTTATGTCTCTTTGAATGTGAATTTATCCCGAGAGGATATTACTAATGCCCGTGACACTCACTCACTCCTGGAAATGTCATGAGTCCTTTTTTTAAAATATATTTTGTATTGATGTCAGAGAGGAAGGGAGAAGGAGAGAGAGATAGAAGCATCAATGATGAGAGAGAATCATTAATCAGCTGCCTCCTGCACGCCCTGCAGCCCTGCACTGGAGATCGAGCCCGAAACCCGGGCACATGGCCTGACCGGGAATCGAACCATGACCTCCTGGTTCCTAGGTCGACGCTCAACCACTGAGCCACGCTGGCGGGGCCATGAGTCCTTCCTTAGAGCTCATAAGTCTGCTGTCCGTGCACCTGGGGAAGGAAGGCGGGGATGGGTGGGGGACAGTGAGCATGACAGAGGTGTCCCCGTGTCTATGATAGTTTGCAGTCACTCAGCAGGCAAGTGGGTTTGGAAAGCCCGATCCCCTACAAACCCAGCGAGCTACCATTCATTTCTTCATCGGG